GGGGTTGTAGGAGTGTCTGCTTTCATTGCCTGATGGATATAAGATAGGAAGAATTCTCTGGATTTGAGTCCAGGCCTCTGCTGTCACAGGCATGATTTCGGTAAGCGTACAAAGAAGTTACTAAACATAGTCTCATAGTTAATGAGGTTACAAAAAACTCCTGCTGTTTTTAAGTCTTTTTGAATGTTGCTGTTATAATAGGTAGGAGTCATCTTATGAATTCTGGAGTAAAATTATCCACAGCAAATTTATACCCGTTTGTCCATGGATGTCATTAGTCTTCAACTTAAATTGTTTTTTTCTTTTGCTTATGTTCACCCTCATGATATGTTTACAGGCAGAGATCATATCTTCTCTCAGCCTGCGTTTTGGAGGCTGTGTAAGCTAAGGTCTTAGTCTGCTTTATGTGGAAGCCTCTGCGTTGCAGTGATTATCCTTCCTAGTCTTCCTTACTGTGCTTTTTGTGAATTAATCTTCTTTTTACATGTGGATGATATTGTATGTGCAATTATAGAGGATGTCTTCGTCCTTTTTTTTTTAAAGTGCTGTATAACGTTGACCGCCCATTGCTCTCCCATGATCAAGTAATGAAGTTAGATCTTTTGTTTTCCAAGTCACAAATTCCCAACTCTGTTTGAAAGCTTGCTGTTAGTTTTCAAGGCGGTGACCTTGGACTTCGTACTACATTTTAAACTATTCTTCTTACTACAACTCTCATGTTGAACAAGTTGTTCCTGTCTGATATGCTGCTCTTCCTTGCTTTGAATTATCATTAGACTTCACCTGTACTTTTTTCTTTGCAATCCATTTATTAATAATGATGATACTTGATCCCAGTTTCAAGATAAATTTTGAAGTAGTTGTTACTGGGCCATTTCTATTATACTCTTTCATAACAACTTTTGCTGAGCCTTTGGATAGGTTCTTTTTTCTAGAAATATTTCTTTTGCTAAAAATCTATCTTTTTTCTGGTTTTATTGAGTCTGCATATGGTACAGTGTACTGTGTATCTATGGAAGTCCAGATGGGTGAATTCTCCTCTGGAAATAGTATATTATATATGCCTAGTTATTTCCATATATTTTTCTTTCATTTTTCTGACTACTTCTGTATTCATTGATTTGATTTTAAAACCCATGCATCACACCCTTCCTCTTCCTTTTTAAATACAGATATCTTATATCTTCAGTCATCATCAGTGTGCTACCAGATCTGTAGTCTGTCAGTGAGGATGTGCTTTTTTCCTCTCTCCTGTGTTTCCCCCCTTCTCCTGACTGTTACATTCACCTCCGTTATTCCTGCCGACTAAATTGTCTTTCATTCTTTTCTAAGGAAAAGCTGGTGGAAAACTTCCATATATAGGTTTTGATGCAAGAAATAGATAGGGCTTGGATTTCATCTTGCATTCATCTGCTTCTTTTTTTCCTCTCAGTTATTCTAAGACTGCAGGCATTAATTGAACTAATTAATGAACAAGTCTGCATTTTCTCACTATTCTTTTTTTAATACCGAATGACTAACTTGTTTTGGAATAAAAGTATTGCCTGAAGAAAAACAACTTGCTTTGTGTTAATTCCATGTCCTGAAGTAAACTTCAAACCTGGTGATTTATATACAAAGTAGTTTGACACAGTGCTTAAAGTAGAGAGACTTACTGGGTGCAGGAGACAGATGGATGAACCATGTATCCAAAATTGAAAATGCATTTTGTTTGCTTTATACTTATTTGGGTTTTTATTGTCTTTCAGACTTTTGGTGAAGGTGTACTGCGCTCTATGAAGTCATTGCTACAGAGCAGAAGAGAGTTATGCAGTGTATTGGCAGAGGAGTGCTTTAATCGGGAAGAACAAGCTAATTTTCTTGAGGTTTGGCATAACCTAACAATTTATATGTCTTTTCATAGGTATGATAAAGGATGATCTTGCTTGTAGTGGCATGGAAAGTTGCAGGATAGTAAACATGAACAATATGGCAGGTTGCTTACTGCTCATAAACTCTACCCTGTGGTGTTGTCCCTGAACGCGGTAACTGCAGTCTTTAAAAGAATTGTAAAGCAGAGAAGTGTCTTCTTCAAACTTTATGAGAATCATGAAGCTAAACATCAAGATGTATGGACAAATAATTTTTTTTAAGAGTTGTATTACTGAGTATACTGCATTGGATGAGCAGTCCTGTGTTCAGGTTGTATGCATGGTATCTCAGCAAAGTAGCACAACCCTTAGATTCAGGTCTGAACCTGCAGGCTATAGTGATTGCTCATGTTTGCCCTATACTTGCTGCTAAAAGCTGAAGCCACAGTGTTGCAGCTCAGGCGCTCTTTTATACGAGTACAGATGCTCTAAAAGCTGGACAAGGTGGGGAGAGAAAAGGAGTAGATCTGGATGGAATTTAGGAGTGTCCAGGTAAATCTTGGGCTGCGAGGAAGAAAGGCCAGAGCTATCTGGACTACAAAACTAAGCACTACTTCTCCAAAGGAGAAGCAATACGGATCTCATTAAGAGTTTTATGAGGAGACTAGTAGTTCACAGGTCTGAAAAGGAGCTTAGAGGAGAGGGTGACCTGAACTGGCCAGGCAGAGGAGCCAAGATAGGGGGAAATGAAGCAAAAAAGACTCAAGAAATGGCTAGGGGGAGGCTGAAACTGGGTAAGGAGCAGAAGCAGGGAGGGAGAAGGCAGATTGTGTGACTAGCATAGGATTGCCTGGACAACACCAGGCTGTCTGGGACTCTCTGGATGGCGAGACTGTGACTGAATGAATTGTTTGGGGAAACACGCAAGGAACTAAGGTTGTGAAACTGTGAAAAGAACTGGGACAGATGAGGAGATAAGGAAGAGCAGGAGCTAGGCGACTGGAGGAATGGGCTAAGGAATCTGTTTGTTTAGGCAGACCATGCTCTAGAATCTACAACAAAACTCAAACTTTTCAACTTTGTTCCCCGCCCCCTCCCCGCCCCCCGTACGTCCGAAGATGCTAGAGGCAAGCAAAACATAAGCAACTAGCTAATGTTCTCTATGGAGAAGGATACCTTACTATGTTCAGTTACTTCATTAGGTCAAGCAGTTAAGAGCACTCTGCATGAAATGTTGGAGGGTCAATATACTGTCATAGAAAATATTTTTTTTTTCTATAAAAATGTAGGGATTTTTTTTAGAAAGAAAAGTGTTAACAAAACATAATATTAAGACTGCAAAGTAATTGATCAGACTACAAAAACTGAATTTAGGTTTCCTATGCAATTTGAATTCAGCACTTCTGTCCCTGTGGATTATGATAACCTTCAAATACAGTGTCACATACACTATTTTTAGTTTAAAGAAAAGACTCGTGTTTGACTCTAGGCCCTTCTCTCCCCCAGTCCACTCCCTAGTGACTTCTGGTCTGAAGTACTAATTTCATCCATGTTTGAGGCCTTAAAAGTGATTTCTGTTAATTCTGTGACAATTGAAGGCAAGTCACATAGAGATCCAAATTAATATTGTCCCTGAGGCAAAAATAGGTGGACCCTGCAATGATATCATTTGGCCAATGTTTGCAGACCAGCCAGCACGTACATGGACTGGTTAGCCCTCCTCTGTATGAAACTACAACTTCTGAACGCTGCCCTGTGTTGCACACTGAAGTATTCTGTGGGAGAAGGGTCTCGGAATTATTGAGGAAGAGGAAAGGGCAGGAGCATAAGAAAGCAAAAGGGACATACACCCACAAAAAACAGCAGCAAACCCCAAAGTTCCCCAAAACGTTGTTCAGAAAACTCTTCTTCCTCCAAGTCCTTTAAGTCATTTGGTATTGTTAGGCCTCTTCAATGGAAGAATTGAACTTATATTGTACGTATCATACAGATTAAAGACGTAGGAGTTTAAAGGTGTAATTGTAGGTATTGTACAGATCAAAGATGTAGGAGTTGAAGGGCATATTGCTCAAATGGGATCGTTAAGGCAGTGAATGCTGTGCTGAAGAACTATGTTTTGCCTAGAGCTGTTTGGAATGCTATTGCAAAGCTTTGTTTCAGTTACTGCTTTGTCATAACTGAAATATGCTAATTAAGATGTGTAGACTTAAACAGGAAGTTTTTTTTTCTGTTGGGAAAGTAGCCTCCCAGTACAAGACCCCCTAAAATACAAATTGTCAGAATTTTTAATATTTTAGTATGATTTCAATTTACAAGAAAGACTTTTTTGCCTTACATTGAAATAAAATTGCAAAATGCAAACACTCAGCAAAACAGAATTGTTTTCCAGCCATTTCTTTTTCTGGCTCTGTTTCACAATTTCTGTGTATGCCCAAGTAAATTGCTGGACCAGTTAGTCGTAAGTGATTGTGAACATAATAGTATTCTTTGCTTTTTACACCAGAAGGCTACCTTACAGAAACAGTGAGTAATTACCACCAAGTTAGTATGACCTGTGACTTGAATGCATACAATTTGGTCTACTGCATAGTGTTCTGAAATAACTGAATCTAAGGCATCGAAAACTTAGCTCCAGACAAAAGTGAAAATGTTTGATCTTTGTACTTTAATTTCCTGTCTACAAAATGGATCTCCAAGCTTTTTTTGAAAATAAATGCTTTGGGTTTTTTTTGGAAGCGTGCAGGCACCCTATTGGTTTGCCATAAGGGAAAAACTAAGAGAACTGAATAGATCTGACATTTAAAGCAGGGTTGGAATAATGGACGTGAAGTAGGTCATGAAGTGGCACTGAAGAGAGAAAATAAAACGAAATACTTATGTCCTTTGATTTGGTGGTACTGAATGATAGAGGATGCCTGTAGACAAAATAGTATGGGAATATGTGATAAAATATTATCACTGTTCACAAGCACAACAAGCTGAGGTGAAGCTGAGTAGGCAGTCCTATCACCTTTCACTTTCTTGAGCCTGACAAGAAACTTTTAAGGTTGAATTTTTTTTTTTTTTTTTTTAAACCTCAGGGATTTGTCTGCTTGGGTATTGCCTACAAACATGTGGCTTAAGTCCTCTGTTCTGTTTTGGCCTAAGACTAATCAGTTCATGTGGTAAATTTGCTGAAGTATAGCCTAATCCGTAACAGCTTGTTAACGTGGACACAAATTTCAGAACTGATTGGAACTGACTTACATCTGGCCAGCTGGAAGCAAGGACAGAGGCGCACTGATCTTTGCAAAATCATATTTATATCAGTAGGCATAATGGAGCTGTATATGTTGCTCAAAGTATACGAGTCAGTAGACCATTAGAAGAAATTTTAGGTAGCGGATTTTAAACATTGTATGTGCTCTGCAGTCTGATCTACTCTTTCATGACAAGTCAAATTGCGTAGACTTACTATTCTCCATGTAAGACTCCACGTTACTCTTTCTACAAGCAATGCTATTCAAAGGTATGTTTCTTGTGACAATAAAATGAAGCTTTACAGTAAAGTCTGCTGAATTTTACTCTTAAACTTGTACAGAAATCTAGACATTCATATATTCATATATTTATTCTGCAGATTACATTTATAGGTTTTGCCGAAGAGATGAGTACTGGTCGTTTGCAGGTATAGTATATATCTCTATTGGAAAATAATATAGTTCAGCACTGGTGATCTCTTGTAAATAATATATACCTTCTTGATGGAGGAATTTTGTTCTTTGAGAAGTTAAATATGTTTACACTGAATATTTAAAAACATTCATAACAGTTTTAAATATAGTTGAAAAATACTGATTTTGATTTTAATACAAGTACCAGTGCTTTATAGATATTTAAAATATTAATTGTACTGGAATAGTCTGGAATAGCCTGTTTACATTTGTTTTCTACTGTATGTGTAGGTATTTTGGCATGACTATTTTGTTTGTGGTTTGTAAGCTCCTCCTTCATAGAGTTGTGTTTAATAATAAGGTGCCATTGTCGTCTGCAGAGCTATAACTTTCCTGAATTGACTGCTAGCTAGCCAGAGATTGCTGTAGCAGTTCACTGATGTTAAAAAATGAAAAAAGAAACTGAATCCATTTGTATTCAAACTTGCATCAATTTTTGAGAAGTTAATAAAATGATAATACTGCTAAACATGCTGCCATATATGGGGTAAGAACTATTTCATCATTTAGAACTAGGTGAAGTTTAGAGAGAACAGGGCTTACTAGGTTTATGGAAACTTGATTCGTATAGTATAAATCAGTAATGTCTGTATTGAAAAGTACTTTAGGCTAATTCTATATTTTAGGTAAATCTAAAAGTTACCCAAGATCATATTAAAACAAGAGCCACGTCTCTGTTTTTATAATAGTGGTCTAAAATGCCATTCAAAGAAAGTGTGCTAAGAATGTGTAGAGATCCATTTAAAAGTATTATTAGCTGAGTTCAGTCTTCTCTGAGTAGTTGTGCACCTTGTAGGATGTGTAGATGCTTTTTACTCCTTCTAAGATTCTCCTTTGTGACCTTTAAAGCTCTTCTGTCACATGAGAACAGTGGACATTTTTGGTAGAAGTGTGAATTAGAAACAAGTGTGGATTAAATTGTTAGTGGAAATGAGTTCTACACCAGAGTTTGAGAGAATAACTGGAGGATGGGGTGAGAAGTAGGGAGGAAAACAGCTCTACCAAAATTAGTGGCTCTTAACATTTTCACAGAGTCTTGGAATGGTTGAGGTTGGAAAGGATCTCTGGAGATCATCTACTCCAATTTCCCTGCCCAAGCAGGATCACCTAGAGCAGGCTGCCCAGGACTATGTTGGGATAGCTTTTACGTATCTCCAAGGATAGAGACTCTGCAGCCTCTCTGGACAACCTGTTCTAGTTGTTCATACACAGTTTTGGGAATATGAAATTAAAAACTCTTCATTATCACTTACATGTTTTTCACATTGTATTCTCAGTGTGTTCTTATATTTAAATTAGGGGCTGACAGCTATTTCTGTAGAACTTCCAGATGTCCTGAAATCACTCCAGTTGTGCAAGCTAAAAGAAAACGAGGTTATATTTCTAAAAGATATAAAGAAAAGCTTGGAAAAACCTTGTATCACAAAACATCAGGTAAATGTTCTGTGTCGTCTTACATGTCTTAGATACGGAAGTCTTTTAGTTGGTTTTACAAGAATTTAGCAGTATCGCACCTTGTCTTGCTTGTATTTTTAAGCTATCTTAGGCCAACCAATGTTAATGTTGTTATGTTTCTGCAGTTTCCTTGTGTTCAAAATGAATGTTAGAAAATTTCAAAATAAACTTTTTGCTTTGGAGTTAAGTGCTCTATTGTAATACAAAATATCTAATATAAATATTTAATGTTTATGTTGCACAAGAGAATTTCTGCTACAATGATTCTCTGTAGCAGTGAATTCAGTAGGAGGGTGATTGAAAGGTGAAGCGGTGCATGGGTAATGCTCAAACGAGCAATGAAGACCTGCCTTTTAGGACTGTTTCTTCTTGTGAAAGACCACGGATTTTAGAAGATGTAACCAAGAAGTTTGGAGGCGTTCTTAGTTTTGTATGCACTTTATGATCAGTACATTGCCTAGTCTAGCTAGTGTAAAGTGAAACACCGTCTCACATACTACTCACCTGATGCATGATATGGCCTGTCTGTACTTGCTGGCTGACTTGGTCCTGTTCTTCTCCGTCACTGAAGTCCCTTTCATGGCCTATTTGGAAAGAAAGTGAAACTGATCAAGTTGTCTATGACTGCTCTGCTCAGATACAGCTTCCATTCCTCTTCAGGGTTTTCCTCCTTGAAACATAAGTGCCAGGAAATTTTGACAATGTCAGGCTTTCATAAAACTCACTGTTGTTTTTTCTTTTCCAATTATAAATATTGTTAAAGCAAACTTCTTTAAGTCATATTGACTAGTGTTACAATGTAAATTTGATTGTATATGATACAAATATCTAAACTGAAATACTGTGCAGCATGAACACACTTTGAAGTCCTGTCTTCCTCACAGATTTTTAACATGTATATTTGTAATAGTCTTGGGTATATATTATCAGGGCTGTGTTAAACGACTTGTTTTTTTTTTTTTGGTTTTAATGCAATGATTTATTCAGAATGCAGGAGTTACTAAAATGAATAAGTGATATAACTGTTGCTGTACACAAACTGTTCCATTTATTTCCTTATCTGGAAAGGATTTTTACAGATAAATTGTTTACTGTTCATAAAGATGCGTTGAAGGAATCCCTTGTTACTCCTGCCAGCAGAAATTTTTCCAAGTTTGTTATATGTTTGTTTTCTTGTTGCCCTCTTTTTCAAGAATCAGCTTCCTGAAGTGCTTTGTGTGATGAGATTGTCTCCTTCATTCCCAAGGATCAAAGCTGATTATGTATTTACCTTGCTGAGCAAGTATACTACAGGTGTAAAATATGCAGTGGAAATAAACTCATTGCAAAAACATCAAACAGAGACATCCCATGCAGAAGATGATGACACTAATCAATCAGTTTCTTCAATTGAGGATGATTTTGTCACTGCTTTTGAACACTTGGATGAAGATGAGCCTTCAAAGATACAGAGTGTTGGTAAGTGCTTGCACGCTGTTGAGTTTTGTTGTAGAGCCTGCTCTTTGAAATTTAAGCTGTTGCAGGACTTCATGAGACAATAAATGCATATGAAACATCTAGTAACTTTTAACAGTAATCACCTGTTTCAAGAGGATAATACACAAATGTAAATTTAAATTTTTGTCATTCTCTTCACAGCAGTAGTTTGTCAAATCATAAGCCAAAAATTGCAGCTGTGGTGGCAGATCCAGAGAGGGCAGACCCTATGCTGGGTGCTAGAAAGTACATGATTTTTGTTAGTGATTAGATTTGTCTAATAAATCAATCTTTCATTCTTTTCAAACTCAAATCATGCAAGATTACCTAATGCATTGCAACAATAAAAAGCCCAGTGATTGCTATCAGAATTTATCCCTGATGTTGTGCATTTATGTGGAGACTTTTGTTTTTGAAGGTTTTTTTTTTTTCTTTTTAGGGGCATGCAGCTTTAGTTCTCGAAACCATCGAGATGCTGCTTCACAGACCATCCCCGCTCAATGTTTAGAAGCTGTGGACTCAAAAAACCTCATGGGTTCTGTACGTAGAAAGTCATCTGCTAGATCTTCCACTTTGATTGATATTTTGGGACTTAAGGAACTGTCCTCAGTAAAAAATTCAGTTACAACCTCAATTTCTGATCCGTGGATACAGAGGAGTTTCTATAAGCCATATAATCCTTCTGATCAAGGTGTTAATTTTTTACAGAAAACATTATTTTCCTCCTCTCCGGCAGAATCCTCTGAGTCAGATTGCTCCAGCCCAAGCCCTGTTATCTTCTTAGATGAAGAAGGGTATCAAAAAAGCTTGAAGGCAAAACTTCAGCTGCCAAAAATTCCAGTAGTGAAAGATGGTATAGAGGATTCGGACTCAGAAGTAAGTGAATTTTTTGATAGTTTTGATCAATTTGATGAACTGGAACAAACCCTGGAAAACACTTGTAAAGTTATTAGGGATCCCGTCCAAGGGAATCCTCCTCAGAAAAGGAGGGCTGCCCATGAACAGCTGTGTTCTGCAAACATAACAATGAATCCTCAAAAATTCAAGTTTGATCGTCCCACACTTCCAGCCAATGTAAAGAAACCAACTCCTCGTAAACCTGAGTCGCCGTACAGCAGTGTCTTTGATGTTCCAGATTCTCCTCGCCCAGTTAAAACATCAGGGGAAGAGAGTGGAGGCTTATTTAGCCCTATTAGATCATCAGCTTTCAGTCCACTAGGAAGCTGTGGTGGTTCTGAATGCTTGTGTCGGATGAATCCTGGTGGAGATGGGACAGGTCAAAACCACCATGATGCACTCTACGGTACTTACTCAGAATACGCTGATAGTTTTTCATTTGAAATACTGGGTTCTGTTTTTCATTCCGAGTCTTCATCAGAACAAATCCATGCAGGAAACGATTCCAAATGCCACAGAATTGCTTTGAAAGGAGAAAAAGGTCAAGCTGTGGATCACAGAATGAAAACTGGCAAGGAGCCAGAGAAGCAAGCTAAATTAAAACATAAGTCATTAATGATTAGAGATAGCATTCAAAAATTTGCAACTGATTTGGTTGAAAAAAGTTTTGGCAGTGCGTTTAAAGACCTACAAAAAGGTGTTTCTTCATGTACCAATGCACTTTGTCATTTAGCTGCTAGATTGACTTCCTCAGTCTTTCAAATGGCTTTTTATGAGATTGGAAGACGTAGAGCAATTTCCCTGAAGGAGCGTGCCATTAATGGGCTGGCAGGCTTTTTGGTGAGTGAAGCTATAACTAGCGCTTTGAAAGAATTGCGACATGTAAAGAAACAAATATTTACCAACACAGTTGCACGTTTTGCAGCAGATCTTGCTGAAGAACTTGTGTTTGAAGGAATCATGGAAGTATGTCAGTTTTCATATCCATCGACTCCTACGGCTGCACAGCCTTCATCGTTTGATTTTGAAGATAAAGTGGTAAGATCCTATGCCAGAGATTTATCTGAATCTGTCATTCAGGAGGCTTTTATTGAACTCTCTCAGGTTGATGTGACCTTCACAACACAAGCAGCCATTAGCGTTTCCATGGACAACATTAAATATGTGAGTGCAGAAAGTATGTTACAGTCAACACAGACTTCCACAGCTTTTCCTACTTTTAATGATAGAGTAGCACTGAGTGCAATACAAGAATCCAAGACAGAATATACAGTGCAGCAAGCTCTATTTTGTACCTCTGGTGTTGTAAGTTCGATACCTGTGCCCTTAGCTGGAAGAGCTCTTTGTCAACATCAGGTTTCCTCTGATGTTTATAAAGCAAAAGCATGGAGCGCTTCAAACTCTGGCAGTATGAAAGCGTATAAAGACTCTACTCATCCATTTTTCATACCTAGAAAGAGAGAGGAGGAAATTGCTTCTTTCAGAAATTTATACCTAACTTCAGATCCCAATCAAAGTACTGAAAACAATCCATCACTTTTACATAACCAAAATGATACCAAACAAACAAATAACAGCTCTGGAATGAATAATAACTTAGAATTAACAAGTGGATCGAAAAGCATCAGTAGTTTCTCTGGAACAATGGTAGATATGATCGTAAATGAAGCCTATGAAGCCATAACTTCATCCAGGGTAACGAAAGCAGTGGAAGAGTATACAGATCTTTTAACAAGAAAAATATTAGAAAGAAAACCTTATTTGCAATGCATTGGTGAAGATTTTCCCAAGAACGTGTTCGCAGACCACTTGGCCAAGTATATCATAAAGCAATCTGTAGATGAAAGTAACAGTGTGGTATCAAGCACCTGTGAGAATTTAGCCTGTAATATGGGCTCACAGATATATGCAGATAACAGTAGAAACGAACAATATAGTGCGATAATGAAGCAAGAGGCTGAGAAACAAAATAATGTTCCTATAATTGTTGAACAGCAACAGATGCCTTTGAATAATCCACCTAAATTTCTTCTTGCTCCTGGTCATTCTGTTCAGCGGTCTTCAGAATCTAGAGACAGTTGGCAGGAACAAAAAGGACGGAGGTTTTTTTCAAGTTCACCACCACGGTATTCCACTGTGGCTTTTTCTAGGCATGTTCTAGAAGACCTTACTGACACAGGAAGCTGCTCAATAAAGTACTTAAATAAGCCCTCAAAAAACCCTGACACTCAAAAAGCATCATCAGGATCTCTGACTTACAGGCGGGATGATTGTTGTCTGCATGCAAGTACCTTTGCAGGGATGTTTGGTGGTGAAGATGCTTTGCGGATGGAAGATAAATCAACTACCAAGGATGGAAATACCTGTGTAATGCCTGATACACCCCCACCAACTCCCTTAGTACCATGTGAAGCTAGTTCTGAAAGGAACCTAAGGAAGTTATCTAAGAAACTCAAGGGAGAATTAGCAAAGGCATTTGCACCCGCGACGCCACCTTCTACACCATACAATCCATCTGTTACTGGTTTGCCTGAAACTGAACATGACTCCCTGGAAAAAGAAGAATTTATGCTGAAACTCATGCGATCACTTTCTGAAGAAGTGGAGAGCAGTGAAGATGAAGATTGTTCTGAAATGCTAGTTGAGAAAGAAGAATATCCAGAAAAAACAATACAGTATGCAGATCACTTAGCTAGTCATATAATTTCAATAGCGACTGAAATGGCTGCCTCCCATTTAGATGATAAAACAAATGAAGGTGAAGCTAATAATCAGGTTAAGTTAAGTATGCCAAACAAAAGATGTGGGTATGCTGCATTTATAAATATTCCGGAAGAGACCTGCAATTCTTTGTGGAATTATGCAGGTGATATGGCAGGAAAAGTCATCAGTGAGGCCAAGAAAATGGTGAAATCAAGGCATTGTAAACTGTTGAGGTTGAAACGGGTTAACTGCCAGGTGGATTGCCTTTATCTGAGAAAAGGTGATAAAGGTGATAGTTCAAAAGAACGGTGGGGTCCAGGGTGGGACCAGTGGCCTGGGGAGAGAGATTCGTCTGTACTTTCTTTACCACAAAATTTGAGCATGATGGGTTTGACTTCCAAATACCCAAGCTGTGAAAGCGTGACTGATGAGTATGCAGATCATATTATTCGAGTTTTGAAAAGAGAAGGTGGCAATGCTGAATTGTTAGTGGATCAATATGCTAGTAGGCTTGCTTACAGATCTATAAAATCAGGCCTACAGCAAGCTGCTAGGAAAACTAAATTGAGATGCAACAGAAAGACATTACCTGGGCAAAATACAGAGGTAAATGGCAAGCTGGAGCTCTTCAAAATAACAAATAAAGATTCACTACAGCAAGTGAGAAGCGATATCCATCACTGTGAAGACCAAACTTGCGAAAGGAACGTCTGGACGCAGAGAGCGGAACGCACGGAGTTATTGCACTTTTCAGAATCCCTTGCTCACAGTATAACTTGTGATGTCAGGAAGAAATTGAAAATGCCAGGAGCGTGTTTGCCAAAATCTTTAACAGATTCTTGTCTATATAAAAAGACTGAATTTGATGAAGTCACGGGGGATCTTACTAAAACAACATTTTCTAGGGCATTTCCTTTCTCCCCAAATCGTAAACTATATCATAGTACAGGCGATTTAAATGAAAATGGTTACAGTGAAGGTATAATGCAAGCTATAGAGCAGTATGCTAGGAAAGTAGCAGATGATACTCTAGAAATGAGTTTAGAATCTGCTGTTCTCCATGCAGCTGAAAACAGGAGAAATGGAGATAGGCTCTCATACACTGAGAAGTTGTCTCCTTTTTCTGGAACGGTCTGTAGATGCTGCAGTATGAAGGAACATCAGTGCTGTACAGAAAGTACGTCTCATCTACCTGCGCAAGAATCTACCATTCCAGTGAAGCGTTTCCCTCATTCCAGGTTGGGTGGCGTCTGTCAAAAATCAAGAATATTTCACCTTGATATTCCTAAAATTCATATTGATGTAGAACAGAAGGCAGTGTTTTCTGACAAGGTGGTTACTGCAGCTGTTGAGAAAGCAGAGAGAGAACTGAGTAACACGAGTCTGACGGCTGACAGTGGTATTGGGCAAGATGGAGTCAGTTTTGCTGAAAGCCTTACTACTGAAATAATGACATCAGCTATGACTAATATTGGTCAGGCAGTAAACATAAGGTAATATTCATTTTCTTATTTATTGCATCCTGTACCAGAAAAAGGAGGATTGTTAATACAAGTACTGTGCGATCAGAAGGAATTTCTTTCTTTTGGAAATATATACTTTGTATTCTAAATGTTTTTTCTTTTTATTCTTCTGGTGGTAGTTAAATGATTCAGAACTGGGGGGAAAAAACCCTTTTTTTTCTACCTGTGGGCGCTTAAAACCAAAGTTTCTATATACATCAGGATGTGTATGTTCTGGTAGATGACTAACAATCGAAATTTCAACTTTAAATGCCTGCCATTTTTATCTACAGTAGGGAATATTATACCTTAGTTGAAGGTCTTGCTGGCATGTGAGCCGTGACGGTCCAGTTTTTTTCTGTACCTGTATTTCTTCTTTTCTGCAGAGAAAAAGACTTTTGTTTTTTTGTGAGCATGACCAGTGTCTGGTACTGGCAAACCAAGCTAGCCATTGCTTTGTAGTATGAAGGCTTTCTTTTGATAATGAATGTGTTATAACAGTATCCTCGTTATTGGAAGGAAAATCTTACTTTTAGGAAAATAAACTACTTCCTAAGACACACTTTAGCTTATAAGATAGTAGTATACTAGACCAGAAACTGACTCTCAGATTTGCATATCTATATCAAAGGCTAATGTACTGTTTCTTTTAATATGCCTCTGACTAAGAAGTATGTGCCACAGTAACTTTGGGGAAAACATCTGTTTCTTAAAGCAGACTCTGCAGAGATCAGAACGACTTGGAATGTCTTCCTCACGTCGAAGAACAGTCTTTACCTTGTTGGTCTTTTTAAGTTATAATAGTTACTTTCCAAATTGTTTTGCATGGGAGCTCCTCACAGTGGCAAAGGATTTATTTTCTTGAATGACATCATGATGAATAATTAACCTTACTTATGTATTTTTTAGTGACTAAAGGCCACAGTGGGCCTGAAAGCAATTTTTTCAAGGTGTGATATGAAGCACATAACAACTCCTGCTCATAGAATTTGGATCTGAATGGAAATTTTTGTTTTGTGTTTGGGGGTTATTTTTGCAAAACGATTTCTACCAGCTTTTTCAGCTTTTCAATGGAAGCGTTTTAAGTAAAAATTATAGCAGCAAATAAATGTTAGTAAATTGTATATTGTGGCTGTTTGTGCAACATGATTGGGTCCTTAATCAGTGTGACCGGAAAAAGTCGTTTTATGTCTTGTGGTGATGTTTTTCTGATACTGACAGTATCAGAGGTGATGCTTTGTTTCTGAATCACTTCTTTAAAATGTTGTCTAAAATTTCTGGTTAGAATATGGTAGAGCATCTAGAAGGCAAAGTTTGAAGAGATATTGTTTATTGTTCATCTGTGATAAGGAGGAGATATTAGGGTTTTAACATTACATCCAGTTTACAAGTGCTTCTTATATTGGTATCTGAAGTATGGCATAAAATATGTATGCTTCTTGAGAGCTGCCTTGCTCATGTGCAGTGAAAAAAAAATTGCTGCTAGCACTGGTATAACTGTAAATAAAAATGGAAAATAACCTTTGCATTGCCCAAAGGAGTTGAGATTTAAAGATTTAAACAGTACTTATTTTAAGCTACATCATTGCCTGCAAAAATTCATGCTCACCAGAGTGAAGTGTTATCCATAGTGTGGTCAAGGCTGGCTTTTTAAATGGTGAATGTTACAATTTTGAAATGATTGCGCTCTATGGTGTTAGTAGGATAATAGTTTTTCTTAAACTTTCTAGCATTGATCTGGAAATAGATAACCAGAGTTTGACCCTAAAGGTTTTCAGGTTGAACTCCTTATGAAAAAGTTACAAATAGCTTTAAAGCTATAAAATTAGATCCCTTGATGGGCCTTCTAAAGGCCATCTATTACTGAGCATACTTGCTTGACTGGTTTTTGCAAAAAGAAATACAAGATTCTTTCCGCAGGGAAAAATTCTATATGCTGCCCCTGTTAATGCCCTTTCTTGAAGCAGGAAGCCAAATTGTTATCTGCAGAAAGATCTTTTTTTAAAATATGGTAACTTTTCCATTTTTTGAACACTAGCGTACTCTTAAGCAGTTTGTATACAATAGCAAACCACTGGTAGCCAGCTGGTTGTAAGGAAGGCAAGGAAGGGATATAGCCAAATTGTCCTATGGTGAACAAGTTCAGAAATGCTAATTCTCCCCACTTGGAAAGTGTGGCTTGATCAGTGCATAAGAGTAAAATGCCTAGGTGCTAAAGCTATATTATGCTTTATACAAATAATCTTCCAAATGAGAGCCTGCCTTCCCCTCTTCTTCTAGTGAATGAGTTCCACATGGCAATCCCAGGTGTAAGCCTGTTAGCAGAAGCGTAATGGGTATGTGCATGTGTTACAGAGTTTCTTGGAATTTGAAATTTATTACGTTGCTCTGTTTCTTACTTTGAAAACAGGGTTGCAAATTAATGTATACCACACTTTTTTGCCTGGAATTTAGTATCTTTGAAATGATGTTAAACTACTATAAATGAACTAATGTAGGTCAGTGTTACAGCTCAAGTGATGTTTTCATCTTAAATCTTTGTTTAGCTCTGCTGGAAGAGAAGGATTTCACTCAGTTGAATCTATTGTTAGCCAGCAGATGAGTCTGAGTATTGGTGATGATAGCACTGGCAGTTGGTCCAATCTAAGTTTTGAAGATGAACATCCTGATGAAAGCAGCAGTTTTCTTCACCTCAGTGACAGGTAACTTTATGTTAGCATAGCTAAATGGTTAACCTTGGTGTCTACTGATATCAAGTGGTTTTCTCTTTAGGAACGGGGAGAGAAGAGCTTATTTTTCTCTTCAGGAAAAAAATGATATGTTTTGTTAAAATTAACTCTAGTGCGTATGAATCTGTTTTCCTACCAAAAAAAACTTTGTTCATGAATGTTAATACGACATACAGTATGGAATATGTAGAGTTTGCGTTTTTATTGATATCAGGAAATGACATCAAGTAACGCTGTACATTTGTAACTTAAGTACTGGCAAAAATGCAGGCATTTTAAAAACAAGTCATGTATAAAACGCAACTTGGAAGTAGCGCATCTTACTCATTCTCTGAAATATTAACACTCAGTTAGTGAGAATGTTTTCTGTAAACTCATCTGTACTTTTGAAAATAAAAAATGTGAATTTATCTCAAGAGCTTAGACCAGTATTAGGGTTTTGGAAGGTTGAATTTATAAGCTATTTTAACTGATGTTGGAGTATTTATGTACTACTACTAACCAGAGCTTATAGGTGGGTAAGTATTGGAACTTACAGTCTGTTCAGGATAGTAACTTTTTTGGTAGAGCTTCTTTCTGTAGACCTCCACTTGGCTACCTGATAACTAGCAAAGATTAGAACAAGAATTGAAAAAATCTGCAATGTCTATGTCTGTTGCCGGTGAAAAGTAGAGAGAATTGTGACCCTAGCTTCTGTATACAGGAGTTTTGAAGAATGAGTAGCCTTAATTTTGTATGACTGATGTATCACTCATGTTGAAAGTTCAGCTTTTGTTTTTGTTTTTTATTCTTTTGCTTACTAGTTAGTACTTCCCGCATCATTCAGATGTTAAAGAAAATACAGAAGTAATGTTTACTTATGTAATGTATAATTAGATTATTCAGTACTAAGATGACACTGCTCATTTTAAATTTTGTAGTGTCTTCACATTTTTGCCTGAATATTAATTAAACTAGAATTATACTTTATCACTGATTCAACTGAATAATTTTGCAAGAGACTGATTCAACTGAAATTTATTTTAATACAACATCTGTTGAATGAGTGAAAACACATCAAACTTATGTAATAAAAGCCAGAGTATAAGGAAAAAAGTCGCATTGGCAGTTACAAGTAGCGAATAAAATACAAGTTAGCTGATGCTAAGAAGAAACTATATATATTAAAAAAAAAAAAAAAAAACTTGCTGGACCTGTTGTGCCAATGTTTTTGTTTTTTTTTTTTTTTTTTTAAATCATCCCAAAACCCACTTAAAAAGTTATCTACAACTTTCAAGAAAATCAATTGCTCCTTAGAGGAGCAATAATCCAAATTAACATTAACTCAGGGAAGGGCATGCCTAATTTGGATAGGCAGGTTCCAGCAGAAGAAACAGGCATGCACAGATTTACCAGCTAGCTTTACAAAACTTATGTGGACTAGTAACAGCACATGTATTTCCCTTGTGTCACTGAGGTTTAGCAGATGAAACTGAGGGGATCTGGGCTTATTGCCCTGAGGAAAAAGATAGGGAGGAGAAAAGACATCCTATAACAAAACAAGCTTTGGTGGCAACACTCTGCATGGAGCAATGTTAGCTTAATATGGCAGTCTCTTTAAGAAATAGAAGAATTGCACGGCAGTGATGAAGATGTACTGTTTTTACCTGTTCTCTTTAACATTAAAAAGTCTTATTAAACAGGAGAATGCCTTTCAGTAGCAATAGAGAAGGCATTTATCATGCAGCTACAGCAGTTGAAATCCCCTCTGTCCCCTCACCTCTGAGGCTGTCTATTTAAAAACTACTGCACAGTCATTTTGGAACATCTAAATGTACTATCAAGTAGCCCTTGTTATCTAGAGCTTTATTCCAATCAATGGAAATCGATATAAGTTTGGCTTGATTTTTGGTTGCATTTGTTTATATGCAAATACTCATCTTGCTTTTAAACAAGTTTTCTGGGGGTGGAGGGAAGGGGGAGGATCTCCCTCACCCTTTGAGTACTTTCCAGGCCTTTTGCAGTATGCTACAGATACTGGTACGTGAGACTGCTTTAGCTGATACTTTGAGGATTATCTTTGTAATGATAAGCCTAGAAATACTATTAATGGTAGCTTAAACCGTGGAACACAGAATCAGAGCCCCCAGAAAAGAAAACAGCAAAACAAACTGCAACAGTCCAGTTCATTTTACCTTACCTTGCTTTTTTATTTTACTTTCTTTTCTCAGGAAAAAAAGACATATAGTAGTTGTATTGACATCGTACATGCTCTGTTATTCTGTTAATTTCTGAATTGAGCGGAGATGCCTTTAATGCAGATCAGTATGAAAATTGTACTTCATAGAGGATTAAACTAACCATAAACAAGAGAGCAAGACAACTTGGAGAGAATTATCAGAGTGATCGCTTTAGTTTCTTGTACTGAATGGAAATAAGAACGAAAGTTCTTTAGTGGACTTCGTGAAGTTAGTCATTCACGGGAGGAGTCAAACTGCTTTTCGCATGTCATGTTAGTTGCTTAAATTTAGAAGTCTAATAGTCTTAAGCTTCCTCTACAGTTAATGCTTAGGTATAGGCTTCTGCAGGGGATGAATCAGAGCATCTGATTTAGATTATAATTCAGAGCAGAAGCCTGCCTCTTGCCTTTAACTGCATGTACCTAAGGCAGAATCTCAAAGCAGATGATCTGAGTGCTAGTTCACATACCTATGGTGCAGTTTTGCGACTTGTTTGGCCTCCCTTGGTAGGCTGAAAGCTTTTATTTCTGATAATTTTCCTTCTTATTTGTGTTGAAGAGCTGCATGAAGCAGTATAGAGACATTACAGTGCCTCTTTCTGTTTTTGCCTGTTCTGTGGCTGCAAGACTTTCAAGAGTGTTCAGCATCTTACAGATAAGTTAAGTTCACGTTACAAAAAATCCTTACACGTTGCTATGCATTGTAGTCACATGGTTAAATATCTAATTATATCAGACTGAATTTGACCTTTGTAAAATACATTAACTTTTTCTCTAATCAGAACGGTAGTATGTATGAGGTCATTCTCTTAGATTACAAACACTTTTTCCTTTAATCTGAGAACTAGGGCAGCTTTTACTTCCATTTATTATGCATCAGTGAAAGAATGAGTGCAAAGCATTGATATTAATAGGCTTTGTTAAATATGTGTTCTGTACATGTAATTCAAAATCAAATTAAATGTTAATACTTCGTATATACTATGATGGTCTTGTGCAATAGCTTGAGAAATGTTCTTAAGACTAGATTTGCATTCTCCATGCAAATCTAACAGGTAATTGTGAAGTCTTGGTAAAAGTAAGTAATTGCTATTAGCATTTTTTAATTGTTCTTTTTAATAGATTTACTGCAGTTCTAGAACCAAGCTAGTTTATTTGGAGACTTCTCTTAAATTTTCTTTTTTTGAGTAATGGCAGAACAATCTGTTCTTTGCACATTTTGTCTAAATAACCAACAATAACAATGTCCTAAACAAAGAATCTGCAACTTTTTTACTTTTTTTTTCTTTTAGGGTATATTCCTATTGCAGGTTTACTAACCTGCTGTTTTCATGTTAAAATTAGGATCCAGACAGGCAAACTGGAAAGCAAAGGATACTGATGCTGTTGTTTGCTGCCTCTCAAAAAGAGATTGATATCTGGCTCTTGAAGTGCTCCTTTCCAGCATTTAGGATTTTAAATTTTACTGTTTGTCTTGAGATCGGAATGAGTGGAAAAGAGCTTTAACAGTCAAACACAACATTTAGCTGAACAGACAACTAAAAGCATCTTCTTGCAGCAGCTGTTCTCTAGCACTGCTTTATGGTTTGTCGTACCATGCCATTCCATGTCATCCATGGACAATTTAACCATCTCCAAGAACACTAGTTCTGTTTCTCTTGACATCTTATTCTTGGAAGGTTCCCAGGCATGCTGTGGGGGAGGCATCAAATCAAGGAGCGGGAGTTTTAATCATGTGAGTAGCTCAGACTTGTACATAAGCACAGGCCCAACATACTCCGTGAATTTTAATGCTTAGAACGTACCAGTGTAAGGCCATGTTCAAGTTTTCGCTGCTTTGCATTGACTTGAGCGTAGTTGTGGAATAAATGCAGTATGTCTGTGAACTGTGAGTTAATCTTTTTAGTCTTATTTTCACTGATTTATAGCAATGATTTTTTTTAAAAAGTCAGCTTTACGAAGAATATTCAGATATTTGTTTTAAAAAGTCTCTTTTTGGTTTTTGAGTGTGGGTTTTTTCCCCTTCTTCTTTTTCCCAAAGTATTTGCTACTCATCAGGCTGCTGCAGATCACTGCTTGATTTTGGAATGAGATACAGAGAAGGACTTTCGTTGTGTAGTTGTCTTTACAATATATAATTTCATGAATTCTTGGCTAATCTTTAAGCAAATACTATATTTGTAATCCATAATCGTATGAGTAGTTCTGTTGAAATTGTTGAGCCTGTATAAATAAAAAAGCGATATGCTTAGGCCTAAGGACAGAATTATTGTTAGCACTGGTCTAGAAAATTAATGAGCACAAATCAGTACTTTAACCTGTGTACAGAACTTACCAGTTTTGCGTTATTGTGCTCTGAATAGCACAGACAATCATGTTTGTACTCTGTTCCAGCAAACCTGTTTAGGAAGTTTCAACTCTAGCATTAAATATTTTGACAAAACAGCTTTGAGGAAAACAAAGGTTCTAGTTTGAGCTGTTGTTCTTTTCTAGTTCAGCTGTGTTCTCTTCTTCTCCTGGCAGTAATGGTAACAGCAGTAGCTGGAGCAGTCTTGGTTTAGAAGGGGATATGTATGAGGAGAATTTATCCTTTCCAACATCAGACAGGTTGGTTGAGTCCAGAAATATAAACCAGATGGATTCTTCATAATTAATGCATGAAATCATCATTTTTTTGAAGATAAGAATACAGTGCGTTTTTATGCTGATACATTATTCACACTCTTCTCACTTGATCGCAATATGATTTTTTTCATTAATTAATCCATACTGATTGGATAAATTCTGCTGTGCTAAACTGATGTTCTGTGTTCTGCTTGCGAAACGAGATCCCTTTCATGCATGTTCTTGCTTGCGATTTTACAAGCCTTCAGATTTACTTTTTCATGCAGTCTAGCACTTGCGTCCTACGGGATTTCTGTTTTTATTTTCCTTTAGCTTATGTAAACTTTCAGAATTGCTTGGTAATTGATTCTGTAGAACGCTTATGACGTACAGCTTTGAATAACCAACCTGTAGCTATTCATACTTGTGACCTAAGACTGCTCAGTCTTTTCACAAGTGAAGCGAAACTAAACTGTCCCCCTTAATTAAAAGCAAGGACTCTTTCTTATTTTAAAATGTCTTCATATTATATCTTTCTTCTTAACGCTTCTGCTGTTTCTTTCCTCTCCTTTCTTCCCTGAAGAGCAAATCTTGTAAACTTGTTGACAAGTCCACTTACAACGTGAAATGGTGTGAGAAACAAAGCTTCTTTTCATAGTCATTTTGTAATTCTTTTATGATCTTCATGTCCTTTAGTGATTCACCTTCATTACAGTCTTAGGATTGACTACACTTACTGTGCGTATAGTGCATTGTATTAAAATTTTTGTTTTACCTTTAAAATAGTGATGGAACAGAAGATAAAGATGAAGACTCCAAGGATGCTGTAGAAGGTAGTATCAGTTCCAGCACAGGCTACTGTTCTTGACTTGTACACTCTACGCTAGTTATTTTTCTTGATTCTTAGTCTGCAAAACAAGGTGGCAACTGTATTATCCATTATACTTCCTGTCAGTCAAGTGTCAGATGACACTTTTATGTTAATACTCTATAAACACTTCTTAATACACTGAAATTTACCACCTATGGGAAATGCTTGTCACTGTTATACTCAATGCATATTCTTAATGTAAGATAGTGAATGCAGATCAGCTTGTTGAAAGTATAAAATTGTATGCATGGAAAAATCTCTTTGGAAAATATTTGATATGAGCCATGGCAGCACGTCTGCATGACTATTCTCAAGGCACTGAAGAAGCTGTTATAATTGGCCATGTTAACCTTGGTAAAAGCAGTCATAAGAAAAGAAATGAAAAGACTTGGATTCAATATGTTTGTTATACTCTATTTCTTTTCAGTGAAATATAAAATAAGTTCTGTCTAGAAGCTTGTGACAGCCTACTGGTTTTGAGAGGAACTCCGTGTGGGTTCCAGCCTAAGAGTGAACTGCCAAAGGTTGTTACCTCAAATGAGGACAGGCCAAATACACAGTGCCTTGTTTATGTCTCAGCTTCTCAGTGTGAGTTTAGTTTCAAGACGAGCTGACGTTAGAGCAATTTGTAACAGAGCTGTTCTTTGTTTTGGGTGTATTCTGAAGATGAAATATCAGAGTTTCAGGAAACCTCTGTTATCTACTTATAGAGGAAATAGCCTTTTTGTATATCTTTGAATAGTTTTGATGTAGGCAGAAAGATGTATTTTTTAACTCCTGGAAGAGTGTATGGAATTTGAACCACACTTAAATGTTGTAATCCAATCTGACTGGCCGTTAGGGGTTTGTGAGGCTATAAGGAAGTTAACTAAATTTTTCAGTGTCTTTCTTTATCCACTAAAAATAATTATAACAAACCTATTTTCTGCTTTATAGGTTTCATATAGGTTTTCAGGACAACGTTGTTTTTTTGGTTATTGTTGACTAGAAACATTTCTGTGCCTAAATTATTTGAGTAAAATGGTGTTTGAATTTATTTCTTTATACAGTAAGGTGTCTCCTGAAGTGCAACAGACTGCTTCATGCTGTATTGCAGATTTCTTGCAAAACATTTCTAGTAAAGTTACAACAGTTTACTGCTTCATCATCTCACTGTTCATTTGAAAAGAGTATTTCTAGCTTCTTTTGTCATAGGACCGTTTAAATTGCATTCTGAGTAGAAAACGTTTCTAAATGGTGCTGTACATTTGGAAATCTGGTTATGTCAGTAGCTAGCTTGGCTTACTCTCAGGTAACTGCACCTTGATTTCTCTAGCGATTGTATAGATACCTTACCGCAATGCTCTCCTTTCAGTAAGTGTCACTAATTTTTTTTATAATTGGTTTATTCTATAATATATTAGATTTTGGGGCTCCTAGACAAATGTTGTCTTCCACAAAAAGCACACTTGTGTTGACAGTTCACTAGGTAAATTCTCTCACCTTTTGTTCCTGGGAAGATCTGTTTTGTCTTGCTTAACTTCGGCAGGTAGGAATGTATACCTTATGTCCTTGAATTTTATAAGGTTGATTGGAAGAGTAGTGAGATTAATGTAAACTGCACATTAATACTTAGTTTTGTTTCAAATGTATTCCGTATCTTTAAAGAGTTAAGTCATAATTCTAGACTACTACCTTCATTCTTACATATTGACTTCAGAAAGAACTTGGAGAGCCCTACACATATGCTTAGTCGGTTATGCCTGTGTGACAGAGGAGTACTGTGATGTCCGGATTACAAATGCAGACAGAGAACAGAAGATGGCGATGCTGTAGCTGTTCTTTGTTATTCATGCAACTGCTCTTTGAATACTGTGTTCATTTCTGGAATTCATGCTGTAAAGGAAGCATTGAAAAATTGGATAGGCCTCAGTAAACAACAGCACTGTATTTTGGCAAAACAGAGGCAGTCTGATCAGTCTGTTGCCTGTACAGGAAAGAATTCTGAAACACAAACATGATTAAATTTAGTAGATGAAGGCATTGCAAAAAGCAGCAGTTGGAAACTGAAATGATTGCTTGAAGCACAGTGTAAGAGGCCATTGCTCTTCAAACAGATTATGAAAGACTATTTTAAAGTCCTTATCACTTGGAATCTTGCATTAAAGATTAGATGCTTTTTTAATCTTCAGATATGTTTACAATCAACTGCAAATGGGATAAACTCTGCTTCTTGCACAGAAGAACAGAACATTTCAGACCCACGTGTTTTTTGCCCTTCATTATCTATATACACTAAAATGAAGTATTTAAGATAATATAGGTTGATAATGACATATAGCAATTATTTTAAGACAGTTTGGACCTCTAATTTGATCATTTTATTTTTAATGTTAGGTCTGGAGCAAATAAGAAAGACTTTAGCAATAGTGAATGTTGATCTGGAGCCAAATTTAGTGGATCTCGAGCTCAGAACAGCACTCCAGTGGCTGGCAGCTTCTGAAACAGAGGTGTCTAGCGTTCATTTTCATGACACTGCTACAAGGGAATTTGTCTTTGTAAGTACTTGGGCTTTAGCGGGGCGGAGGGAGAAGGATTTGCTATAGCAATTGTACCTTAATTGGGATTTGTTCTGTTATGTCAGCTATTTCTACTATATTTGCCATAAAGAAATATTTACTGTTGAGGAAAATCATTATATAAATCCTGAGAGGTCGAAGTAGAACAGCTGATTAATCTGTGCAAGTACCGTAAATAACATAGCATTAATTAAAGCTGAGTTTAACAGTGTATTTCTCGTTTCTTGTTTCACAAATTGTATCTTTTTTGGAGTAAGCCAAAGAAAACAATTACAGTGTTCTTGTTTAGTGAAAAAAGGTTTGTTTTTTTTTTTAAGCAGTGATTATTTAGTGTTTGCTTTAATTGTCTATAAATTAATCTGAGAATTTGCTCATGCAACTGAATTTTAATTTAATATTCTGATGTGCTGTCTCAGATTTTTTTGCTAGCAAATATACATTTCTTATCAGAAAAAATTTTAGCTTCTAGTTAAACTTGATTTTAAGTATGCTTTTATTCTGGAAGCAATTTCAACCAAAACTATTAAGAAAGAAGACTCAAAAAAACTATTTCATTTTAGGAATGTTTGTTTTGGCTTTATACATTGAATTTAATACATGATGAAAGAGAAAGTGGAGCTTAAAAAGTCAGAGGTTTCAGCAATTTGTGTCTCTTAGGGAAGACCTGGAATTCTGTCATACAAACTGACCTGGAGATATTTCTATCACAAATACAAGATAGAAACTTATTCCTACAGAATTGTACAACTCATTCCTTTATGTGCCTACACAGCATTTAGTACATGAGACCTATGAAATACAGTTCATAGGTTATACAATAGGTAAATACAATAGGTTTCATACGTTTAGCCTATGAAATACAATTTTATATGTAGCTACTGAAAGGCTAGTATAACAGATATGAAGACATTGTCTCTAAGGGTGAGATTGCTTGGGATGATAATTTATCAGAGATACTATTTTGCAACTTGTTAACAAATGAAAAAGAGTAAAGAAGACTCTTTAATGTGATGTCATTAGTATGTATTTTATAATGAAGATCTTGGCAAAAACAATTTGAGGTGCATATCAGTATCTAAGGAAGCAAAAGCTTGCTTTCAGTTCAGAAAACTACATTTGAGGCTTCAACTAGGTGGTTTCCAAAGCTTGAATCCGCAGTGGCAGGGAAGTAGACTGGCAGGGAAGTAGAGGTCAGTATTACTAAACAGAAGATTTAGTCAGGTGAATGTGTACTTCAGTTACTGTAGATGTGCGTTAATAGAATACGAAGGGTATCTCTGAAGGTCAGTTTGGATCTTAGCTGGACTAAATTGCCCTAAGAGTGCCTTTTCTCTTCTTGGCTATAGAAAAAGTCCAGAAAATAATGCTCATTTTTGGATTTCTTTTGTGAATATAACTATATGTGGTATATGTTCAAACTGAAGAGTAGGAAGCCTTGTTTTCTAATGTAAACTGACCCAGAAAACCGGGAAATATTTTTAGGCAAGTTGAAATAATGTCTCCCTGTTCTTCTTTTCTGGAGGTTGATATGTGTTTGATTTAAAATTATTTCAGAAATGTTTCTGTGGTACATTGTTATTTATGGTGGACTTCATGCCTTTATAAACTAGAAGGAAAAAAGTAGTAGTATTCTCAACAAATTGCCATTTCTGGTTTTATTTGGAATTATTGGGCTTAATCCTTCTATTCATGTTACTTCCCTGTTAGTTTGTCACTTTTCTGTGATCTGTATGTGATCCTGCAGTATATTTAACATGTTGGCCAAAATAGAGGGCAGGTGCTCCCTTCCCCCTGCCTCGCCAAAAGTCTTCTGCCGGGTCTGACTTCATTAGATTTTGAAGTTGGGAGGCTATTGAGTCAATGCCTAAAGATACTTAGAACAGATACGGTTAGCTAGCTGTATATCTGAAATCCTTTCCAGCTACCCTAAGAGAATATACTGAGAAGAGCACTCTGGAAAGCTGAAGTGTCTAGTGTGCATGCACTCCTAAAAATTGTAATATTTTTCTACTTGGTGCTTTGACTTCAATCATAAAGTGATACTTAGTTGGTAGCTATAGATAAAACAGACGACCTTCATGCAGGCAGTAGTCATGCAATCCAGAAAATGTTAAAGTAATGGATTGATCCTTTTGATTTTACATTTTCTTGTTTTTGATTTTTGTTTTGTTTTTCCTCCAAATGTGTTATTTTAAAATGAATTGAAATCCTGCTTTTTCCCTTTTGGGGGCACGGAAATGTTATCTCTTTTTATTCCATCTGATCTCCTGGTCAGAGTGTGTAACACTGCGTCTTTACAGATTTGTGTCCTTGTCCTCTGTTGGAGTGTCTTCTGCCAAACCCCAGAACTTCACCTGTCATGTTAGTCTGACTCCACATCTCTCACCGTTTCTTGGGCCTTGAGGCAAAGTAGAGGTGTTGCAGAACACTATTTCTGTTTGAATGACCTAGCATAGGAAAGTTAGGGCACTTATAAGTATCATTTTCTTGAAAACTTTTTTTGGAAGTAAAAATGTAAAAACAAATTGTCAGATTTAAAGCTTAGAGAATAAGACCTATCTGAAAGGATTCTTGTCATTTAATAAGGCTGTTTTGAAAATAGACTATTCTTTCAGGATTATATTAATAAAAATGAGATACTGATTAGTACAAAATAAGAAGTCTTACAGCTATTCCCAAGCTGAGCCCAGTGAACTTTGGCCAAATTGAGGTTCTTAAATTAGAAATTGTTATTCTCTGTTCCTTCAGTAGTAAACACAGGCACCTCCAGAGGGCGCCACAGCCTAGCAAAAAATTGAATTGACCTTTACAGATGGTGATCTCTCTCCAGCTGAAGGGTTTGTTGATCATGTCGTAGGTACTTTGATAAGGTACCTAAGCGATGTGGGGAATGAGTCTGGGCTTTAGATCTCACAGAAAACAAGAATTTTCACTGAAAGCAGTTAGAAGGTTCCAGAATAGAAGAAAAGCTTACGCTAGCTGATCACGGTATGATAATAAGCCTCTGATATGACATCGCTCTGTGAAAGACAAAAGTACTCCTAGCATAAATCAGGCAGTATTTGATTTTTAATCAGATCATATCTAGCTATTTTAGAATTCCTGGTTTCTATTTTGAATAAATTTCAGTATTTCACTTGTCTAACAGTAGGAAACAGATCAGTCAGAAGTGATGGGATTGATTCTTGAACACTAAATTAAAACCAAGATCAGTGAAGGCAGGTCTGTGTGTCCTATGATCATGTCTTCTAATGTGATTTGTAAAACTAAACAGAAACTTTGCAGTATATTTGACTAAACAGGTTTTTGGACATTAGCCAAACTTCTCTCTGTCATAAGACAAATTGCAATTTCCTTATAAACCAACAATCACCCTTTACAAAATAACTGTGTTGTAGACAGTGAAATGTTTGTTTCCTGTGGTGTATTTAAATTTCACAAATATTTCAGGGAAATAATTTCAGATTTCAGTTGTCTTCAGAATATGCTTACATAGAATATATGTTTTTTTGCACTGAGAAGATATTTCAATATTGAGGAGATATTGTTCACAAGATTAGATGGCTGTGGTTTTTTTGCTTGTTCAGGTATGTCCTATGTGTTAACTGCTATTTGTACATATTTTCTAGGAGTAGCTTTTGTACAACTGAAAATACAGCCTAAAATGTTTCCTGTCCATGCCATTCTTAGCTGTTCCTTTATCTATGTTGTTGCAGTCTGAACATTATCTAGGTGAAGAAGCAGAGAGAAATTGTTTTCCTCTTCATTTTCAGAATTTCATACCTCGTTTTGACAAGTTTCATAGAAGAATCCTTAAGAATTTCTAATTTGGTAGATGTGGGATCTGTTTTCCTGAATTTTCTTTGGGAATTTTTTTAATATAGGATATCATGATGGAGACTATAAAAAGCAATAAAATTCTACAGTTCCAAAAAATAAGTAGGATAAATGTTATGTAAAATTTTCTACTAAATGCAGCCTTGACAGTTATCCAGAAAGCTGCCCATAATTATTTAATTAGTAAAAGTTTTCACTCTTGGACAAAATGGCAAGTTCATCTGTGTCTTAGGGTAGGCTTTCTTCTGTATATAGCTGATCTTGACAACATAATCAAGGAAAGTTTCTTGCCTGGACGCCGAGGAAAAGTTGTTTTTGACTATACTGGCCTCTGCTTCCACGTGGTAGTTTAACTTAATCCTCACCTTTTCCTCTCCCCCAAGACGCTATAATTTCCTAACTCTGAAGACACTGTTTCCTTTGAGGGTAGCATCTGTGCCACCCAAACCACACTATATGTTGTGAAAGGAAAATCCACATCCTTTTATTAAGACTGAGTTTTGTCTTTTTATATGTGCATTATTGGGATGGGAGCGGTAGTGAATGTCTTAATCTTGTGTTCAGGATTTCCTGTTTTCTGCAGTCTTGATGAACCACAGCCCTCATACCTATGGCACCACATCATTTGAAAATGTCACTCCCTTCAGAAGAAATTTCTCTGAAAACTGCCCTAAAGAGAAGTGCTTGATCCTTGAGGAAGTTTTTGTTTTTATAGCTGTGGGATTAATGATTAACTCTTTACAGTTGTTCTCTTATGAGCTAATGTTTCAAGAATAGCTTCTATAACTCCTAATTGGGATGTACCAGTATAAATACTTTGTTTTGTGTTCCCCATCTCCCCTTCAGCTTTCCAGAAGACTGCGAGAAAGAGATTGGAAAGTTGGAGATCTCTTGCAAGCAGTGCTGGAATACTGTGAAATATTAGAGAAGGCATCTGACGAAGAACAAGTCCTAAATAAGTCTTTGGTTGGTTGGCTTCTGGAAAATGTCTGAAAAATCCAAAGATGCAACGTTCTTTGCTTCATTCCCCTTTTAAAAGACAAGAAGAACAGATATGTAATGTAAAACTTAACTGATGAATGTTCTAGTAATTGTCAACACTTAGAAGACTTTGAGGTGAAAGTCAAAATAGCTGTGCTGTGCTTTGTGATACTGTGTACATGATGTGTTTATGCAGTTCATAATTGGTGTTGTCCACCCACACATGACTTGTATTTACTGCTGTGTTCAGGCCATTGAAATAGTTTATGAAAAAATACCTTGTCTGTGCTAGCAGTTCAGAGGTGACGGTCTCAGGCGTGATATTCAGGATTTGCTCTGTACCAGGCTAGCTCTCTTTCCTGTTTTGAGGTGTGCTAAATTCACAGCGCGTCTAAGAGCACTGATGGAGAGTTCTGGAAAATCTTGCTGCAGACACTAAGGAAATTACCGCTCTTTGCCAGGTGTTACATGCCCATGGGCAGCGTTGGCAGGTGGAAAATTGTCACAGTGCCCAAGGAGCGTCTTAATGCAGTCTAGCTTCCTAGCTGCCTTTATCACGTTTAACTATATGTGAAGATGTGTAATTCTGCACTAAAATCATTGAAGTGCAAGTATGTGTTCCCTTTTGTTGACTACTGTACTTCTGGCAGCAGGGCAGAGTAGGTAGCTGAAGGTAACTTCCTAAATCTTGCTTCAGCAAGGTTCGCGAAAGCTTGCCTATCAAGTTTAAATTGCTCAGTTTTTTTGTTTATTTGTTTTTTTAACTAAAGCGTTTTGTTTACTTCTATGGCATTAATTTTGTGTCTGAAAAGTTCATATGTTAGTCTTACACACTGATAGGTTAAAAGAAAGACAAAGCAGTGCCCCCCCCCCCCCCCCCATGAGAATTTTGGCCATCTTTGTCTCCAAAAATAAGTTTTCTTCATTGAAAAGATAACTTTGTTACTCCATGAGCACTTCAGAGTTAGTGAAGAGAGAAGGTTAATTAAGACGTTAAGGGGAAAATTGCTGCCAATTGATTTTTCATTTTTCTTAACTACCTTTGCTATTTTTTAAGGCACTTTTAATCAAGTCTTTTTTAGCAGTCTAATCTAAAGGTTTTGTACCAGTGCTGCTGACTTGCATTTCCGTTGGAGGGAAAATCTGGATCTTTACATGTCCTATGGTTTGGAAGTGAATTTTGGGTTTTTGTACATCCTTTGAGACAAAAAGGCACTTGATGATAGTTACAATGCTGCTATCTCATATGAGTTTTCACATCACTTGCAAGAGAATCATGGAGTCTGACTTACTTTGGATGAATAAAAGCATTTTAATAGCTGTTTCGTAGAAAAAATATACTGTTGATAGGTGTGCAAGTCTCCTGACTTGGGTCCAGACCCTGAGAAATGGAGTTCTTAAATCTATTCATGAATTTTAGTGGAATATGTACAATTTGGATTCCCTTTACTTGCAAAATTACTGTGAGACATCACACTGGTAAGCTCAAAAGCAGGCTCCTTGCGATGTCTTTGTGTTTCAGAAAGGCATCCTGCTGTTCGTTAAAGGCTTTTTTTTTACAGGAACCTGGTATATTTTAGTCCTTCCTTTGTCATCTGGACTTGAAAAGAAACCCTGCCTTGGACCTCACAAAGTTCATCTTTCCAACAGAATTGAAGATTTTTTTAAATTTTTAAAATCCACACATGTATACATTTGTATATGTATTTGTATGTATGAAACCTCATCTATGTGGACATTTAACCTAAAACTTTATTTTAAAATTCTGTATTATGTTCATAGTTTATTACTTCATCTTATATGTCATTTCCCTGATTGAAAGACCTACATATGCCATGTGACAAGAAAGAATGAAAAACATCATAGGCTATTTTTCCTTGTTATGTAGGCAATATAATGTTAAGCACTAGGACTATCTCTCGAGCCTATAGGGGAGAAAAAAGTTCTCTTAATTTCTGTGTTTGGAAGATAGGGCTAATAACAAATTTTGAAGGGTTGTACAAAAGCTGTCTTGGTTATTTGAGTTTTTTTGTTTTCCTCCTCGATTCTCCTGTATTTTCCTTTTAAAGGATGTAGCTTTTGAGAATGTTGAATTTCAAGTTTAGTTTCAGATAAAAATTTGAAACCATTTTTTGGTCATCACATCTTCTGTTTAACAGACCAAAAATGTACTTACAGACATACATTTTAAGTTTAAAGTTTAAATGTCAAGAATGTAAAATACTAAGAACAGTGCCTCAGGGCTAAACTTTTTTCTGATTTTTGGTCGCTTGCATTCCCACCAAAGTGAAATTTCAGGAAATGAAGATGCAATGGGATTAGTATAGTGTTTCTATATGTATCCAAAATCAAAAGAGAAGTTCAGGATGTCGTAAGTGTACAAATAAATAGATTTTTTTAAAAAATCAGGAACAGCTGGTTTTTAACTGATTGATTTGGTATGTTGGATTTTATAAAGTTGATGAAGTTGTTTTTAATCACTTTTCTGGAGAAAGGCAGTACACTCTGCAGTTCCCAAAGCTTACAATGATCTAAAAATTTAAGTAGACAATAGTTGTGCTCAAAAATTCATCATGTAACTCTGTTGGTGTTATGTTAAGGAAGAATTTGATTTATTAGCCTCTGAGGAATGTAGTAGAGTTTCCAAATTTACATGAGAAAAATGTGTTGTAAAATACTTGATTTTTACTTTCAAGAACAGCGGTTTTCTACACAAATTGTTTTAAATTTGTGTTCTTTAGGCTTTGACTTTTTTCTGTTGGGTATCAAAATTGGAAAAGCATTTAAACCGGCTTGGTACAATTATAATAATTTAGTAACAGCAATAGGAAACGTTATTCCGATTAAATCTAATTGGTGTTGTCTGTCTTCTTAGTAAGAAAGTAATTTTTTACTGGACTGCATCTTAAATTACATCATTACTGAGTTTATTTAAAACACCTGAACACAAATACAGATGTGTAGATGAACTGTAAAAACACGAAGGGCCTAATTTCAGTCTGTTTAACGTGGACAAATCTGCTTTATAAACAAACATAATAATGAAGTAGGATTTGCCTCATCTTGCATTTTTTTCTGCATGGGAAACCTGACTTGGAAATTTAATTTTAGGTTGAGGAAAATATATATTATTCTAGAAAAACAACCTTTTCTTCATGCATACATTTCGTATTTTGAAAGGTGGAGGTGTTTTGATATGCTTTGTAAGATTCCATAGAAGAAGCACTTTGAAAATATTCCCTCTGTAAATTAGCACTAAAAGTGGCCATGTTTAAACCAACTTTAAAACATTGAGAAAGGGGTGCATACACAATACAAAAATGTGCATAGAGCCTTAACGTTAGAAAAACAAAACAAAACCATATGCTAAAATTAAGGACTACCTACTGTCCCAAAGTGAGGATGTGAAAAAGCTAAGGCCATGTACTTAAATGTAATTTGCATAGTATCTTTGTTCTTGAGATTAAGAAGATTGTATGAGCTTTAAAAAACACACAGGCACACAGACACACACAGACACTGTGTCATTCCGAGGCTGACTAGGTCTCCCAAAGATAGTATCAGATTTTAAATGTTACATTTTCTAATGTAACTTTGTATGGGACCTTTTCTATAAATAGATGCATATTGTTGGAGATGGGAACACAGTACATAGTAAACACAGTCACCAGCGCAAGAAGAACTAGTTTTACAAAGGTGATTTGCAAAGAAAAACACAAGTTTCAGGAATGATTTTCTTTTAATGTAAGAATTCTAGCTTTTCAGCGGGAGCCACTACTGTCAAGCTTTTGCTGTACTTGAGCTCTGAAGAGGCAAGTACAGAGCCCAGCCACTGTAGTCACTTTATTTTGTACCATCTTTGTACATTCCTGTTGTATAGCTGGAGTTGTAGTTTTAGAGGGCCTTTGTTCTGTTGTAATGTCTGAATAGTATTTAATACTAAAATTTATTATAACTTGCTGGAACGGCTGCTTATTTGTGCAGTGTTACAGTAATTCACAGCCCGGTTAGTGATGCAATTGTATGCCAGAAGCAATTTGAATAACTATGTTTATGTAATTGTACTCAATGAATATGAAGGTCTTGTACTGTATAATGGTGACAAGTTTTGCCATTTTAGTAATTTAACAGTATATTCAGTTTTCAGATTATGAACTCCAGGTTGCACTAAATTTGTCCTTGTTTTAGCAGTGGCTTAAATAAAACACATTTCACTGGCTTCTCAATCTTAGCCCCCCCCCCCCCCAATTCTTGCAACTAAGATCGGCCTAGTGGCTGTGTGAAGGAACTTGAAGAATGACATAGTAAATGGTGCTAGTGCATCAGTAGATGGCATACTTCTTACAGGATTAAATTAGCATCCAGGAAGGATGTTGGAACTCTTTTACTGTCTTTGGGTTGAAAGGTAAAACCAGCATTCTGGTCACTTGAAGTAAAGATTTGCATGGATTCTGTAAGGAGAGATTGGGCAAGAAATCCATTATAATAATTCAGTATAAAGAAAGACACTAATAACCTGTCTGCATAAATCTCTTACACTTAGCTACTGGACATAATATGTTGATGTCCTGCCTGAAAGCTATGTCAGGGAGATTGGCTTAGTTCCCAAGGTGCTGCTATTTGCATGTGGAGTGAGGTTAGTCTTCAGCACACGGTATGCTATTTGCCATAAAAGCCAACTTTGGAGTCTTCTGGATAAATACAAGAAGATGATGCTAATGGAAATATGTTGTATGAAACACAGTGTTTCTCAGGCTCATTGAAAATCCTCGAGTATTTTAGTATCTTGTGTAATACATTCAGGAACCTAGGTTTACCAGGCAACATATTGTCGAGTACTGCAAAATCATAATGCTGATCAAAGATGTTGTATACAGATAATTTGTAAGATTTAGTTTAAACTGTTACTGCAGATATAGTTAAAATGCGTTGATGTAGCTGCGTAGCAAATTATCAATTGCAGCAGGATTTCATTTCAAGAATTAGGATTTTTTTTTGCTAAAGCTATTTTTAAACCAGTAGTTGTACCCAGTTCCGCAAGAATCCTTTTTTGCAATTTTTGCTTCATGGAGTTTGTATCCAACAAGAGCATTCTTTTGCATTATTATCATACCTATTTAGAAGATATTTGTGTTTGAGTAATACTTCAGGTTCAACTGTGTAGAAAATGTGTTAAGCGAATTGAGCAAACATTTAGTTTGCTCCTAAAATATTGTACAGCCAGAAAAAGTGGAGTAGCATGTTTGGAGACAAAAAAAAGATTTATTGAAGGAGAAGGGTATATGCATGTGGAAGATTACTTGAATTTTTTTTTTTTCTTCCTGCCTGGACTTTTTCTTTCTTTTGACAGTCTGGTTCTGGCTGACTTTGTTCAACCACAGAACAGTATCCATGCACTTTCTTTAACCTTGGTGTATTAAATTGAGACTTGAGTCTCCAGCCTGTTCCGTAGTCTTCCCTCAACACGTGTATTACTCTTATCTCCTGCTGCCTTTGCCCGTACGTTCCTCCTCATCCATAGCCTGAGCTTTTGGTGTGACTGAATTCCATGTTGGTTACTGCTCTGCGCCTCGAATTGGAAGGTGGCTAGGGAAAATGAGTCATGCTGAGGCTGAAGAAACGTGCCCTGAACACTGACCTTGCTGGTTATTTATTGAATGCGGGTTAATCAAATGCTATCTCTTCCTCTGCTGTTCAGACAAACCACAAAGTGTGTGACTATGTGGGGCAAGGGAACTAACAATGACAAGCATGAGACTAGTGTCTGTGGTGAAGGTACTGCTTATCCAGTCCATGAGCATGTGACACTTTTCCCCAGGAATTATAAAGGTTGAAACTGGAG